AGAAAAACTGATAAACTGGACTTCATCAAAATTTTATTTTATTTTATTTTATTTATTTATTTTCCTTTTTGTCTTTTATCGTGTCCGGCAACGGACCGCAACCCTCAGTGTCACGCCTGTACCGGACCGGGACCGGCAACAGGATCGCAACCCTCGGTGCTGCGCCCGCCCCTCGCTCAGCCAGTGAGCGGGAACCGGTCTGTATGTGGGATCCGAACCCTCGGCGGGAGCGCCGCCGCGCTCCCAAGTGGCGCACTGTAGCAGTGCACCACCGGGCCGGCCCCTTCATCAAAATTTTAAAATTTTGCTCCGTGAAGGACTCTTTTAAAAGGATGGAAAAACATCCCACAAACAGGGAGAAAATATTTGTAAATGACATATCTAACAAAGGACTAGTATCTAGAATATGTAAGAACTATTAAAACTCAACAGTAAAAAAGCACTCAATTAGAAAATGGGCAAAAGGTATGAACAAATATTTTGTCAAAGAGGATATACAGATGGCAAACAACATGAAAAGGTGCTTAACATCCCTAGCAATTGGGAGATGGAAATTTAAACCATTAAGATATTGCACACACTTGTGTGCATGACTGCAGTGAAAGGGAGAGACAACAATGCAGGTGAGCAGGAGAGGAGCCGGACCTCTCACCACCACTGGGCAACGTGAGGTGCTGCCGTCACTCTGGAAAGCAGTTTGGCAGTTTCTTAAAAATGTAAATGTGCAACTACCATGTGACCCAGAAGTTGCACTACTAGACATTCATCCCGAGAAATGAAAACTGATGTACACAACTGTTCACAACAGCTTTATTCGTAAAAACCGAAAATTGGAAACAATCCTGATGTCCTTCGGTGAGTGGGTGGATAAACAAACTGTGTCTGTTCATAGCACGGACACTGCTCAGCAGTAAAGAGGAAGGAACTATTGATACAGGCAGCGGCTTGGAAGTTCTCCAGAGAATCACGCTGAGTGAAACAGAAAAGGCCAGTCCCAGAAGTTCACATACTGTATGTATGATGCTGTTTCTACAGCTTTCTTAAAATGACAATGTTGTAGAAATGGAGAATTATAGAAATAGATTGGTGGTTGCTAAGGTTAAAGAAGGGGGTTGGTAGGAAGGCGGGAGGTGGTGGCTATGAAAGGGGAACATTAAGAATCCTTGTGATGGGATATTCTGTGTCCTGAATGTGTCTTCATCATATCTTGTTGTGTATTATACTACAGTTTTGTGAAATGTTACCATTGATGGAAACTGGGTAAACGGTACATAGAATCTCTCTGAATTATTTCTTAACACTGCATGTGAATCTAAAATTAGAAGTTTAGTTGAAAAAAAAAATTGCCCCAGTATAAAATCAACAAGTCTGTTGAGCCGTGAAACCCCTAACAGTATGGTATGGATTTAGAGACCAGAATAAGCCCTGCAGGTAAATAGAAGGAAAAAGCCAACAGCCCCACATGGGCATCGAGGTAAATGTACACTGAATTTGACTTGCAGAAAGAAGAAAGAAAAAAAAAATTATCATACAAGCTTATTTACAAAGGAAACCTCTTTCAGCTTGAAAGCATCTGAAGCCAGAGGCTTCATTCAGCCTGGCGCACGTTCAAACGCAAGTCCCACCTCTCCCTGGTGCAGAGATGGCCTCCCCAGCACACACAGAGCAGCTTGATCCGCTCAACCCGGGCCAGCAGCGCACATGTGTTTGCAATCTGAAGGCTTCCTGTGAGGTGCACAGACCCTCAATAACATTTCTTACGGGAACTTTTCGGTTTTGGATGCCAGGCCCAGCTGGAGTTGGGCTGAAGTTGTACATAAACAAGGGTTCTCAAGGTCAGCTCCCCAGCCAGCAGGCTGGACTGTGTGGACCTTGGGTGTGGGGGTGGGGGCACTGCTCTCAATGGGTTTTCTCAGAAAAAGATTGTTTGCATGTGTTTCCCTTGCCCTTGTATCAGAGAAGAAAAGCCCCCAGGACGTTTCCCTTTCCCACTCCTGCCTGTGGGAGGCAGAGGAGATGGCACAGGGCCCTCGCCCCACCCTCCACCCCCAGTTCTCCTGGTGCAGCCTGGAGAGGAAGGCCAGCACGCCTAGTCCCACAGGGAGCAAAGCCAGGCCTCCCCTCCCAACCCACCCCCCACCCCCCCATTTACACAAGTCACTCCCACAGCAACAGTTCTCTTCCTAATGGGCTGCTTTGACGTTGCAAGTGACTCTGCAAACCACGCACTAGAAAGTAGCGTTCTGAGGTATCAGTTTCACCAGTGTCCCATAAATTCTGCCCCTACTGTTCTCACCTTTATCAGAGAAGCCCATTTATTTAACGTTAACATCCTCTTAACAGTTTCATCTCCTCCTGTTCCTTCAGGAAACAAAAATCAGAGTCAGAAGGCATCACTCCCTTAAATGAGGGACCCGAACCCTGCCTGTCTGTGACCTTTGACCTAGAGTCCTAAGCCTTCTCCCTTCCCTTGGTGTCCAGGAGGCCATCCTCAAAGGCCAGGTTCACAGGCAAAGGAAAGTTGACTAACTGGCAAGGGGCACTTCTAACTTACCTGTGGCCTCACCAGCCCCACTAAGTGGAAGCCTGTAGGCTTATAGGAAATCAGCAGCCAGCCAGGGAGAGAATGAATGTGCACTTCTTCCTCATGTAGGTGGATCTTTCTCATTTCCTGTGCTTTTGTTCAGCAGGGGGTGAGGAAGGGCAGAGACAAGACAAAAACAAAAAACAGGACAAGAAAGCAAACTGCCTAAATGATTAAGAAACCTTGTTCCAGAATGGTTGCTGAACTCAGAGGTCCTGTCTCCCAGCTGCCAGATCATATCTCCTGTCCTGGAGAGTTACAGGGTGGTGTGCTCCTGAGCACGGGCACGGGGGCAACAGTGTGGCTTTAGATTGCTCACCACTCCTCACAGCCATGCTGGGGAGGTCACGCAGAAGGCAGGAAAAGCAACAGAGCAGATGTGGTTTGGGGTCAAGAGCACTGGACTTGGACACCCCCAGGGTGGGCTCAGTTCTTATTTCTGACCTGTGTGATTATATGCTAGCGCAAGTCCATAGTCCTTCTGTGCCTCAGTTTCCTCATTAGTAAAATAAAAAAATCAGCACCCATCTCAGGAAGTGACTGTGAGGAGTCGGTGTTAGGAATGCGTTTTGCTGCAGGTAACAGAAAGCCAAAAACTACACACCTAAAAGAATTAAGAGCTTGTGGTGCTCACCTAAGAAGTAGAGAGACAGCTATTCCAAGGCTCAGACCTCTGTTCAGATCTCATTGGTTCTAAAGCCCATGTTTTTTTGTTTGTTCGTTTTTAACATTCTAACATCTTGGGAATTTAGAAGTGTCTTACAATGTCGGGTTGTAGTTTAATTAGCAGCATTTTATCTTTCCTAATGGTATTTAAATAATGGTGTGTCTTACAATGTTTATCATGTTTCCACCTAAAGATGATATGTTATCGGGGCTAGACTCTGTCATTTATCTTCTCCATCTTTAGCCTGATGGATGCCTTGCCTCGTGATTGCAAGACAGCTGCTACACCTCCGAGCATTGCATGCACATTCCAGGCAGGAGGAAGAGAGAAGTGGGAGGGACACAAAGGCTTTTCTCTTCCTGACACTCTGTCTTTTTAGTTAGGAAGAGATGCTTTCTCCACTGGAATCACCTAGCCCCCTGCAGAGTGCTGGGAGTTGAGTGTTTAGACTTCCTGGCTCTATAAACAAGGCAGGCAAGGGAGGAGGAAGGTGGTGGGGTGCTGAGCGAGCCAGCCGTTGTTAACAAAAGGACTGCGGGATCCACCAAAGAGAAAAAGAGAGACTTTATTTTCCAGGAAAGAAGCAATCTGCAGATTGGGGAAGAAGGTATGTGCTCCCCCAGGGAGAGGCCGGTGGGAGTTGATGCCTGGTGGGATCAGTTTTACATACATATTCAGCTTGAAGGAATGCTATGAATATTTATGAGGGAAGTCTTATGCCTGCACAGTGAGCAAACATACATGTAACCGATGTCCCATGTTCATTTGAGGTGGAGATTTAGTGCTAAAAAAGGGTGGAATTTGGCTCCTGTCATCAAGAGGTCACCACAGGGCACAGAGGTGAGTTACTGCACAGGCTCTGTAGACTGGCCAAAACTGGTTTAGAGGTGGCAGTCGTTATCAGAAGAAAGTCTGTGAAGCTGATTCTGTCCATCCAGAGCCAAAGTGGGCCCCCAAGAATGAGAGGGGGGGGCAGTGGCTGGTGCCAGGTGGACTTGAAGGTCAATGTAGAATTCCCAGCTGTTGGTGACTTGGTCCTTATCCACCATGATTTCTCCTTGATTACAGGAAAGAGAAGTCTCACGTCAGTTAATAGCATGGGAATACGTGCCTAACCCCTCATCCTACTGTGGGGGATTGGTTCTATTTGTTACTTTTAGGGTGTCTCTTTGTTGTCACAGAGAGCGTGTCTTCCTCTATCTGTTGGGGTATGTTCTAACGTTACTGTGTCTGCCAAAGTATTTAAAATAACTAGCACAGTTATTTAAAATAACTGGCGTGTAGCAGAGACTCAACAGAGAGCAGTCTTGTACCTCCACGCACAAACAAAACTTCAAGCAGTTTGTTGTGGAGATCAGGTAAGCCAGCCCACCAAACAAACTTATTTCTTGGAACACTACAATCGACGTTCTCTAGAAATGCAAATGAGATTTCCCCAGGAAGGAGTGCTAAACACACTACTATCCTTTCCAGTTCTGCAGAGCCGTTTCCATAGGCTTAAGTGCAAAATAAATGAACTGTGTTGCTTGTCTCACAGATGAGTTTTTTTGGCTTTCTTCCACCAAACTAAGCCCATCTCCCCCTTCAGCTCTGCGGTGGTCACAGCCTTGCAGCCTCTACTGGCCTCAATGGGGACAACCTACAGGCTGGCATTCATGACCCAACCCTTGGGCCATTGCTGTGGGCACAACTGAGCTTTCTAAGGTAGTGAGCGGGAAGGGAGCTGACATCTATTCAGTCTCATATACGAGTATATTAACTCATGTAACCTGTGAGCAGGTGTAAGCTTTCCCATTTGACAAAACTACACGTCAGAGAAATTAGGAAAATGTTTGGGATTCTCCAGTGGGTAAGGGAGCTGAGGCACAAACCCAGGTCTGTCTGGTGCCAGTACCCTTCCTAGTACATCTCATTGCCTCCAGAAGTCTTGCCTTCTGTTTCACTCTCTCCACCAGCATCAGGATCGCTTGGAAAGGTTGCCCGGTGACGATGGAAAGTGGAGGGGCTGCAGTTGGTCCTTGGGGGAGAGCTGGCCTCTCACTGTGTAGTTGAAGGGTGGTGCGCTGGAGTCACAAAGTCTCCCAGGATCTGACCTCAGAGACCGCCCAGTCCAGTCCCCTCCCAGCACAGATGAGGAAACGGGGACCCTGTGAAAGACGCTCATGGCAGCAACGAGAAAACGGGCTAGGACGCAGACCTCTTGACGTCCGAGCCATTACTCTTTCCAGAACAATAGGCTCCTGTGGGTTTTCAGGTTTTCAGGTGGACCCTCCCGTCCCTCCGTAAGACAGGCTGGGAAGCCACCACACCAAGTCGCTGTGGATTTTGATCCATTCATTTAACAAATATTTCTAGAGCACTTACCATGGGGCTGGCACAGGTACAAGCAGTGCAAGTGCAGCAACACCCCCACGGGTAATGTCCCAGCTCTCGTGGGGCTTAGAGGCTAGTGGAGCAGAGAGATAATAAGCAAAGAAATGTGCAGAAACGAGACCACATCTGATATCAGACAGGGAGGAGCTCTGTGAAGAGAACAGACAGAGAGATGCTGTGCAGAGGAGTAGAGGGTACTTAGAATCAGGGTCAAGGAAGAGCTCTCCTAATAGGTGACATCTGAGACCTGAATGATGAGGAGAGACAGTCAGTGACGGCCAGTCGATGGTAGAAAACCAGGCCGGAAGACAGGTGCAGGCAGAGGACACGACAGGTGCAAAGCCCGCGAGTCGGGCGTGAGCTCGGCTGAAGGAGGCAGAGAAAAGA